CCCCCACCACCCCATGACTATATCATGGGCCTTTACTTATGCTACCAACAACGCCTTAGAAAGTGCTGAGCGGTTACCTATAAAACTTGCTGCGGGAATAGCAGTTCAGTTTTGAGGTTTTAGCTTGTCTCGGAAATCTCCGGCTACCAGCCATAGAAGAGCTCCTTAGAGAATCAGGTTTTTACCACCTGATGACAAACAAATTTTGCGCCCCCAAGGCGGGGAAGGTTGGTGAGAGCTAAATAGAAAAGGATATCACCTGCATATTCATCTTCTAATCATGGGTGTTTGCTTGGATGCAAAGCCGTCACTCTTTCTAAAGCTGTATGAGAATATGGTAAGAGTAAAATAAAGATACTGTGGTTTCCATAAACAAAGCTAAAACCACGTTGACGCTATTTACAATTTGTGAATGTTAAACTTAGTTTGACAACTTTACAAGCTTTTTCATCCAGGAGATTATTGTAGCTCAGAAGCATCCCTCCATCCTTGGATGTCTATGCAACACCAGAAAAAGAAAAGGAAAAAAGGAAGTAAAGTTATTTTATTATTACATCTGAAGAGGCAAAGAAGAAAATTTTCAGTGTAAAACAACAGGTATCTAAATGCTTTAGACATGCATAACTATGATGATGACTCGTGAGTCCAGCAGTTCTAATTTACTTAATACCCGTGATCAGTTCTAAACTTCCTACGGTGCCAAACAAAAAGGTCACCACTAAGATGTCTTGTATGGAAACAGCACCAAGCTAATATGAAGGACCAGAAAATTGAGTTGCAAGATTGTAAACTCAGAAATGAAGCCTGGATTAGGTTTTGCTAGTTTGGTATATATGTATTAGCAAATCACACAAGAAAGAAGACAATTCACAAATTTGTAGTCAGAATCAATCACTGATTAAGAATATATTTACCCCTAAATTTGAGAAAAATGAAAGAAACTCTATCAGGGTTTTAACTTGCACATTATGTGAATGTGGCAAAGTAGCTAAGTTTACCTTCATGAGCAATGGCTATAATTACAATGACGTAGCCATCCAAGAAGTGGCTCATTTCTTTGTTGCATCAATAAACATGGCCCGTGTCCAATGTTCAACGTCTTCAGTTTGTGACGGAGGAGGAGGAAAAGGAGGGTGCTCAATAAGATCCCAACCTTCAATTAAATTTTCATTCCTTCCTACATCAGATACTTCAGTGGCATAAATCAAACTAGCAGTAGAACTTGGAAGAGCATTGTCAAATGTATTTCTCTGCAAAGTTAAGAAAGAAGAGAAATCAAATGCAACAGCTTCATTGTAACTAATTACTTCCAAAATTTATTTACGAGAGAAAAACTAAAAAAGCATAGTTGTAACACATTATTAGGCCCAGTAGCAAAGAGTTTCATATAATTATGCACAGTTATAATAGTCACCAAAACATAAACCATCCACTAGTAAACAAAGCTGACACATCCTCTGAAATCCGCAGAAGCAATTCCAAAAGATTTTAAAGAGATTGTAGCTACAAGGTTTCTGGACTCTCTATTCTTTGCAGTTCTTACTAAATTATGTCCCCTAATAAATTTTTCTCATCAGGTTCTGAAAAATTATAAGAAAGCTTAATAAAACCAAGGCCTCTCAGTTGAAATCCAAGAGAGAATTATCTACCGTACATAAAACACTTCTTCAGCTAACTCAATTTGTTACAAATTAGTATACGTAAGCAAGAAAACTCCATAAAGATTTATAAGAATCGCCTAGGCGTATTTGAGTTATGCCAGATCCTGCTTATCATAGATATCTCTTCATTGCCGCATTACTGAGTTCGTTGCTCCCTAACATAAGGTCCTTTAATTTCTTTCAACAAACTACTGCATACATGTGAGAAAGCCAAAAAAAATGTAGACATCAATAGAAAAGGAGATGGGGTCAGCAAGAGTGGATAATGATGCATTTTACCCCTCACAAAAATTAGGCAATGGCATAATGCTCAACACAAACAAATATTAAATACAGAAAAGCTCAAGTCTTCTGCAGACATGAAACCAATACTAAAAACTATGCCTCTATACCAATACTGGCGCATGTTCACTCTATATATATTCATACAAATATTTTTAATGCCAATATATGTTATGCTGAACTGAATCCAAAGAAAGAAACTATACCAATACTGGCACATGTCCACTCTCCATCAAAGTGCTAGATGACCCGGCTGAATCTACGTTCCAAACAGATTTGTTCAGTTGTTGGACTTGCTTGGATGCCCTACAAATTATAAAACCGAATCACTGAATACGGGCCACTGCTGGATAATCAGAGGTTTCAATGCCATGATAAGTAAATTTCTTTCATTATATAGTGCACAGATCTATAATTATGATACATAAATTAAGGAAATACGCACCTTGAACCAGACATTTTCAAAGAAAACACAGATCGAACTTCCTTTGAAGAAGAAAGTGTAGCCAACAATCTTGCAAATGTTTCGAAAGTAGAGGCTTCGGCAGGAACTTCTAAACATAATGTGTTGTAACAGTATGCAGTAATGCAGGCAACACTTTTCTTGAGAAGTGCTATGCCTTTCTGCAGATCCTTGTGTGATTCTATTGAGTGCAGGGAAGCAGAAGCGTAGTTGAAACTACTACTACTAGAAGAATCCAACCGAGGTTTTCTATCAGATTCCATTGAGGTAACTCCAAAGTCACTTGAACTTCCAGAATTACTGCAACTTCTGTCGTACCATGAAGCTTCCCCACCTGACGAGCAAAAGTTTTGGCGTGGAATAAAAAGTGGGTACTCGCCACTGCAATGCATGACTAACATCAGTAGGAAAGTTTTCATCTCTTTACGGCAGAAAAGGAACAATAAATTTCTACATTATAGTAAAAGAATACCTTCTAGATGACGGCCGGGCATCCCAGTAAGAATCTCGTTGCCATATTCGAGAACATGAACCCTAATGTAATGAACAAAGACACATGAGAAACTAAAAAAGATTGTTGTGGGTTCAAGATAAAACAAATATGTTATCCTAAGCCCATCTATGTACAGTGACTCTGGAAAAAAAGGCGACCTCACTCACTAAGGTCTGAAAGGCACCAGGAAATTACTTTTTGCTATTCCTCTGGCTCTGGCATAAAATAAATCGCAACATTTCTCTAATTAAAGATTTTTGTACTAAGACAGCTTTGACCAGTTCCATTAATGTACTCTCAAGCATTTGAGGCTAAACTATCAAAACAACGATAGAAGGCTGTTTGAGCATACCGCAAATCCTGAATTATGAAGTGCAGGAGCACATACGCAACGCACAACAAGGTTCAAAAGTTGCACCATATATCTGCTTTCAACCATCGAAAATAAAATCATTAGAATATATTATTATTGGCCAAAATGGCTATTCTACAAATAGACACGTAAAAAACGTTGGATAATTATATCAATCTACTCGGCATGTGGATCTGTATAAGCAGTGTTTCATTTCAATGACATACTACATAACTCAATTTGCTCTAGTAAATACTAGAATATTCTAAAATACACCAGATAAACGGTATCACTAGAAAAATGTAATGCACATGCATTTTCCATCTGGCTTTTGAAATGACTTTCTGTACACTTAAACCAGCAAGTAGCACTCTTGTTCATTTACTTGCAGATCACATAGTAACAAGCCCTTGGACCATAAGGGGATACAGTCAGTATTTCATCTTCCAGTAATCCTCTCCATAAAAGGATATCATCGGTTTTGCAATTTCTAGTTAATTTTTTGAGTTCTTGGGAAAGCCGTCTTCACTTCTTGTATAGCATAAAGCAACTTGAACCTTTACCAAAAGATCCTCAAATCCAGCCAAAAGACTTATCAACTATACTCCAATGCTTTGATAAAACCTTCCTGTAATTTTATTGGCGTGGCCCAGATAAACAACCCTCAACTCCAACCCAAAAAAAGCCCAAGTATACAAAGAAAATTTGAAAATATCACAGCATATTCAGAAGAACACCAAAACCTGAGAGTTTGAAAAAATAAATATATAGGAGCCTGACTGTAGCATCCAAAGCATAATTGCTAGCCTCATAGGGCTTATCAAAATTCCTTCCTACTTGAATGCAAAAACGCATAGGTGGCCAATAATCCACTTTGGTAGAAAAGCCATGGCACTCCAACTCATAGAGGCCAGAATTACTGGGCACTAATGTAAACATTGTTCAAAGAAAACTGCGCAAGATAATAATTGAGCAAAAAGAAAGGGAAACATCCAGATGAGATTATAAGACTAACAGAGCAAACTCATATTGTCACTTGAATAATGGCTCCGCAGATATCTACTCTTGAACGCCACACTCTATGTTCAGGAACTTAATGACTACACAGCTGGAAAAGTGAGTTATGTGATGAGCAAGCAAAAGAAATTACCCTAAAGAAGCACCCAGCTCATTAGATGGAACTGAATGAGGATCAAGTCCTCTTGGCAACCTTGCATTACAGATGCTATCATATTGGCCACTAGATGTGTCTTTTTTTTCTCCATCAACTATTACCTGCAACGCAAGATTTGTATGAAACACAAATGTGCTCCAAGTAGATAGTCAAACATATAACTATGAAGTTGAATTGTTGAAATAATCATCACGGGATTTGTGAGGTGCAATCCTCATTGAAGCCAATCGCAGGTTTCTTCCCAAAATTTCACTTCAAGTTCAAGAATATTAAGAGTTTGCTAATTTAAGAAAAAGAAGATGAAGAGCCTCACCAATTCAAAGGTAGTGATACACATATATAATAAGAAAAGCCTCTCGAAATGACTACCATATCAATATCCATCTTCCATAGTCTTTTTCAGGGACAAGATAATGTAATTCATTCCATTCTCTGTAGTTTGGATTGAGTAGTGTGTGCCACAATTATAAGCATATATAATTTCTCAAGACTTACACGACGTTGAGGGAATAACTTGCATATCTGTTTTACAACCACAGATTGTTTATGAAGAAGCTCAGAGGTAATTGCCATCTGTGGTTTCGAAAAAAGAGCATTAGTAACATGAAAATTTTGTAATAGGAGAGTTAGACAGAAGAATAATTCCTCACATGCCCAAGATTTTGAGTGCAGATGAGATTAGGATAAAACTTCTCAAGTTGTTCTGCACGATTTTTTTCCAACTGCAATTTGATTCAGTCATCAGTGGGCGGGTACATCCAACTATTCATACCAAAATGTGAAATATCAAAGAAAGACTCCAATATACCATGCTCGTCGCTGATCCTAGCAACTCATACTGAACTGTCAGATCATGAGACATCTTCTCGATTTTCGCCTTCCCTGTAAATACATGTATTAGTCTGCTCGCCAATAGGTTAAGATCTGCATCCAATTAAAATTGAACAGCTGCCATTAGTAATACAGGACCAAACACCTTGTGAAACTTGCTCTTTCTGTTGTCGAAGCTTTTCCTTTAATCTTGCCAATTTTTCATTCTGAAGCACCCTCCAACTAAGTTGATCATCGGCCTTACCCTGAAGATGACCGAAAGGTCCAAATCAAAATCATGAGATAAATAATGACCAGATGTCTCTTTTTCAGCTACAGGTATACCTTGTAACCAATTTTTTTTAACAAGTAATGGTAAGAATATACCTCATTACAGAATATAAGGGAACTTATATCAGTTTGGGATACTGAATATCTAAGATAGGTAGCATCAACTAGAAGGCAAATATAATGGTAGCTCATAACCCCTAAAGTAATCTGGAAATGGCCTATAGGCAGCAAGTCAAAGTACAATCATCCCGTCTAGCTTTCAGTTGGTTAACAAGACTTTGTTCGCATTTTTGTTAGAATATTATAGCAGCCCTGACATGCATCATACTACTCTCACTTTGCTTACTATATTCTTTTGTGCAAATTAAACGCCCAACTCTAATTAATTTTTCTATAAATGTCTATTCCATTCCAACACTAAATAAGTTTTATTTTAAAGAAAAATAGGAGTTCTCTAAAACTACGCTTTTTAAACTTCACATTTATATTTACATGGATGTACAAGTCCGAAACTAGGAAAAAAAGACTTTAAGAACACTGGATGGTGTGGAACTATCAACTACGACCCCTGTTAGAGCCTTCTATTTGACTAACATATTCTCTTTTAATCTTCCTTATACCTTCATTTCAAAGTTGGGACCTAATGTGTGTAACAATAACAGTTCCTTAAACCCAACAGATTCATATCGCTCATATGATCTTTTCATCGCCCCTAGACCTACATGAATGTCGAGTCTCTAATTTGCTCAAAAGCCCTCCAGACCATGGATTCCAAGAGATTACAAGAGAATATAGGTCTTTTGAGACATCTTCCCTCTATGTGATTTTATAATTTATTATATCTCGTCCTCTTCTCTTCACCTTCAATCATCATACTCTTGCACTATAAGATGGTACATATAGGTGTCTACATAGGCATGATTAAACTATCTCAAGCAATCTTATCTCATTTACTTTCTATTGGATATGACCATATCTCATCTTATCCATTCTTGTATGACCGCATTTACATCTTAACATTTGCATCTATACGACATTCATCTTGTGGATATGTTGAGCCTTACACGCCCAACATTCACTCCCACATAAATTAACAATCTTACAACTGTTCTACAGAACTTGTCTTTGATTTTGTTCATTGACTTCCTATTTTATAGCACTCCCATAACATTCCTCCATTTTAACCATCCTAAGTTAATCCTATGTATGAATTCTTCAACTACCATGCTGTTTTCCTTGATGTAATAAACAGTATGATTAGATTCTCGCTTGTGGTATGGATAACCTGATTCACAGAGAATTTCAAATGAACAAACTTAAACCTGCATTAGATCAAAAGGGAAGGCAACTTCTTGAACAAGGTAACAAAAGCATAAGTGACGTGTCAAAGTCCAAATTGAAACCATAACAAGAGAGAACTTCATCAGGGAGTAGGAAAACCTTAGCCAAGAGTACTTCACTTAATTGCCCATAGAGTGCATCCCTCCTGCCCTTCAGTGATTTTAACACAGTGCTGTACTCATTCAATCTGCCAAAAACACATCATCACTAGAATCAGAATCCTCTACAACCCACCCCCCAAAACCCCACCCACCCACTTCCTATTGCTTTTGTATTAGTATCCAATTGCTAATGGTAACTTTAAAATCAAGGACGGATTCAAGATGTGGAGGGCTCGGAAGCAGTGAATTTGATTCTTTTATACCAATTCCTAATGGATTTAAACACAAAAACATACATATACTCATATATACACACATTTATACACACACACACATACACATACATACACACACACACACACATAAAAGGCCTCAAACAGTGGCTTATGATGAAGCAACTGATTGTTATGTAGGTCTGCCCCTGTCCAAATACAGATATCCATCCACATCAATTGCATTGTACATGAAATTTCATCCACAGCCTCAACTGAATAAGTTATGAATAACAAAATAGCAGATTGTGAAATAATACTAGGAACTTCAATTTTTGGTTGTTTTTCTACTGTAGTTAAATATTTGAATTACCTGTAATTGACGCAAACAGGACAAATGGAAGGAAGATTTGAATTCTCACAAATACCACAGCAACTCGTTTTTCTCGTCATCTTCACTGTTTCCAATCCTAGTTTATCTACACACGATTTCCAGAAAACCAGTAACTACCAAAATTCAACAATTTGATACTTAAGTTTCAATATCAATTACTACAATTTTATATTGTGTCAAACAGAAAACGAACCAATAATTTAAGGAAAACTCACCGGGATTGTGGAAAATAAACTCATGAAAAAATCGAATAGCTGCAATAAATATTAATCAATTGTGAAGTGGATAAGAACAGGAGCTTAGTTTAGGGAATACAAATAGATGATTTTGGGGTCTCAAATAAGTCTTTGTCGCCGGAGCTCTGATCAGCTAAGGTTTTTAATTTTAAAATTAAAACTAGTGACCTGGTTCCTGGTATGGTAATAACTTTGAGTACAAGTATGAAATAAATTGACTAAGCGTTTTTGTTGTAAAACTCATTCATTTCACTAATTAATTTTTACAACGTCATTAGGATTTGGTTCACCTGGCAGTAAGTTTTGGCATAATTAATACAATGTTTGGATTTTGTTTGTGGCATTAAATTTACATTTATAATTTATGTACTTCCTCCAGTCCTTTTTAATAAGTTTCATGGTTACTAAAAAATAATTGATCTAAAATACTTTTCATTTTTAAAAAATCCAGATAAAAATATTATTTTTCATCTTTACCCTTACTCTAATAAATATTTAAAAATATTAATATGGTGAAAGGTGTGGTATTAAATTAAGATCAAAGAATAAATAATACTAGTAATTTAGTGAGATCCATAATAAATGTGAGAATACGAAGTGGTTGAGCAACATCCATAGGCTCTTGCTAGTATCCATGCCCACAAGATTCAATACACACTTGTTCCACCAAAAATTCTTAAAACCATAGATAAAATTCAACCAGATTTCATTTGGGGAACCACAAAGATGCATCTTCTTAGTTGGGATGTTATTACTAAAGGGGCCTAGGAATAAGAAAAGCAAGTAAAAAAATTGGCCTTGTTTAGAGATTACTAAACTATTCACTCCGTCCCTCCGTCTCATATTATGTGTCATGATTATTTTGTGTACGCCCTTTAAGAAAAAATAATTTTTAAATATTTTACCCTTATTAAATGTTTTCTCAATTTATGTGTTATCTCAATCAATAACATTTTTCATATTTTTACTAAATGTTAATGCAATTGATTTGCTTTATAGAATATACGAAGAGGCACCTAGGATAAAATTAACAAATCAGTAATGCAAACTCTTCCAACAGATAAATGGAATTCATCTTTCCTTCAAAAAAAATTCAAAAGTGATTTGAAAATTTTCCAACTAAAACTATTCTGGACCCAAAACATTCAACTTGAAAGTTACTTTAGTTCCATTTGAAAATTTAATATTCCACGCCTAAAATTTCCTATAAAAAAGAATGCTTCACTAAATTCTTGAAATGACCTTGGATCCAACACAAAGTCATCAATTTCCATTAATCCAAATAGATCCAAAATATGCTACTGAACTTCATTTTGCTAATGGTATTAGACCATAAATTCCTGATCTAAATATTACTACAGAAATTATTGCCGACAAAAATATTGAATCTACCTAACGAAAAGTTACAACGACTTCTGTGAATCAATTGTTTTTGAATTTAAATACAGAACCAAGTTACGAAGATGATACAGTACCATTTGGAGGTATGCAGTTATCACAAGATGAGCTATCACTGCAAGAGCCAAATATAAATATTGGTATGATCAAATAAATCTGGATGTGATATTTTCATTATTTATTTACCTTGGTAAGATCATTAATTTCATTCCCTTGAGTCATAAGAGGAAGTTCTCAAAACAATTACTGCAAGTAATTGAGTTCTGATGCTATATTTTCTTTTTTAAATGTAAACAGATGAAAATTTGGATGATAATGAAGAATTGTGAGGACGATCTGTTGAGGTTTTTGTTATTTAAGATGAAATAGTCTTAAAATGAGGGTGAATGGGAAATGGAGGAAAAATGAAATTTTTGAGTAAAATTTTAAGTTTCCCCCTCTTGACAATGAAACATTGTCCCATATTGGAAGAGGAAAAGATTTTTTGTGGGTATATATATAATTGTTCTTCTTGTAGCTCTTAAAGAGTTAAGAAGAAAGCAAGTCTCGCACCGTCGTCGTCGTCGCTCGCTCTGCTCCGGCTTCGGTCAAATGATTGATTGATTAATTTTTTGGACCAAATTAATTTGTTAATAGTAAATATTAACGTAAGATTATCCGCATTTGTAACGGATATGTTCCAATCCGTGTATTGACCACCAACTGCAATAGCAGCTGCCTAATGCTCTTCCCACAAACAAGCTAGTGCATGTTCCACCATGGAGGGTGGAGGGTCGTTCATCTTCAAAGCTGACTGCTATAAATATGTGCTGCTCCAAACTGAAAATGCTCAACTTTGGCTATACATTGCACTCCTTCCTATCAGCATTTTCATACGATTTTCTGAGTTTCTACTCATTTGTTCTGCATTGTTTTAACTTCAAACAAAGCAACTGTAAGTGTGATTTGCTACCGAACTTTGTGTTCGCTGAAACACTGGGGTTTGAAGTACGACTACACCAGTGTGTAATTCGTTCTATCCTGGGAGGAAATAATCCATAACCTTGGGTACTATGAGGGGATTAAATTCCTTAAGGAAACACTGTGAATTCAGTGGGCTCGAATTAATTACTGTTTCATTACGATAACTTATATTTCCCAGAATTATTATTTACAAATACAGCAATATTGGCGGGACTAGCACGATCAAGCTAGGCATAAATATATTTAAATAATGATGAAGGACGAGCATTATATGGAATGTTGATGTATCACATAGACGGACGAAAGTAAAAGATTGTGATCAGATTCCTTTTCATAAACGAACGAGGCGTTTTACCAAAAATCCCTAAGCCCTAAAAGAAAGGAAAAGAAAACCTTTCAGAAATCTCATCCTACAATACTAGATTTAGTACTCTATTTACATAATTGAAACATCACCTAAAATGGGGAAAATTGAGCCCCATTGCCATTAGTATATCCTATAATTATTCAAAATACTTACTATTCTTGTAAATCGTGATTAACAACAAGCTTATAATTTATATCAAGTTGGTAGTGTTTGTTGTTAAAAGAGTTATGCAGGCATAACTTGGTAATGAATTTTGATTACTTTAAGGTTCTATGCTCTCGAAGATTTCAGTCATCATATGAATATTAAGATGTCAATGTCCCACATTTCACGTGAGATTAAATTTTATTGACACTAAAACTAGGATTCCACTAGTTTTATACATTAGCATGCATGATCATTTAATTTAAAATTAAAATTTAAATATTCAAAAATTATACAAAAAGTACAAGTTACAATTCTTCTCATATATTAATATAAAAAGGAAACACATTTTAAAATATTTGTCAAAGTTCACATCATTTGACTCTCGAGAAGCGAAATATGACAATTAATTTGGAATATGGGGAGTAAGATGCTTGAGCAACTTTACTCATTTGGCAGTTATCTACTGTAATAAAGCATGGGGAAATAAAATTGCTACAACTTAGCTACATTGTCAAGCAATGAACGAATAAACTCTCGGACAAATTCATATAACTTTAAACACCATATAAATTCGTTGATGATAGTAATGAACTTCATCATAAACGATACATTTGTGTATAAAATTATCCTAAAGATGTAATTGAGCTTCAACAGGAAACAAGTTGTTCCGTAAGAGAAAGGCCATCAAGTCACTGTCCCAGAATACAGAAGCCTATCATACACAAAATTCAATGTTCTATACAACCAACGATAGCTCGTGCCTCTTTCAGCAACATCCAAGTGCGTCTGAACTAAAGTCTAGGATATTTAAACATTCAGGACTATAGACAACCCCGAGATAAGGACAGTTCATCGAAGTATTGAGATTGAACCTATCAGCTTTATGTTCAATTCTGCGATGCAATCATGTGGTCACTGCATCTGGAGCTGGGACATATGCTTACGGATGTTGATGGGCACGCTGATGAATCTGGCACTGGCAGCAGTCTCGTAGCTATTTAAAAGCAAACAAATGCTCACATGAAGTTATCTAGGATCAACTTCTTTAATTCCTCCATTTTCTGAATTATTTTAGGGTTCATCAAGTCTCTGGCTTCTTTTATAAGTGTGCCTTCTCTACTGAAATGATATGCATCCACCACTGTCCCAATCCAGTTGTATAGCTGCTCTGGGGTCCTGTAAGGAGTTAAAAGTGAATATGGAAAAGAAACCAAAAATGAAAGTGAAAGGCAAAGCCTCCAAAACATGTAAAATTTCAGAGTGATATACATCTGATAGAGAGGAAATGATCAAAATGGTCCTTAATGTATAGGGGTTGGATTATTTTGGTCCTTATTATATATCAAGTGATAGTAATAGTCCTTAATGTATACAAAAGATGTATGGTTTTAGTCCCAGCCCTAAAAACTAATGGTACAAAGCAAATATACTGTTAAACTTAGCTCCTCTCCTCTGCTGCTTTCTTTCACCGTTTTTCTGAAACAAATTTCTGTTAGCATCAAATTTGATAATCATCTAATCCCTCTTGCCCCCCTCCCCCAGGCTAGCTTGTTGGGGTGAGTATTATCCGAGTTTTGTCTTCTCTTGCAACACAAACTAATTCTAGTCTCAGATTCTTGATTTAACTTAGTGGGTTACCAAGTATTAAAATTTGCTTCACATCTACTCGCATTATATGCTTGAAATTTCTTCTACCAAATGCACTGGTTAACAGGCCATCTTCTTAAACTCAGGGGGACATGGTCTAAACACCCAGTTAAGAAATTTTCCCGGTCAAGTTCCTCGGCATAGAAACGATCACTCAGCCATTACACAATCGACTTGACTCAGTGTCATGTACTTTACTGAAATTTCTCCGTATTTTGCGACCCACTATGGGCTCGGCACTTTCATTCGCTTTCTTACTGAAATCAAGAATTAGTTCATGTCAAAAGTAGATATTGCTTTATTTTCTCAGTAGCTTTGAAAGAGTTTCAAGAGCGGGTTGTTCTCTTCAGCAATTTTTATTATAAAAATAAATAGACTTTGACAGAAATATGAATAGAAGGTTGGATTTTGAGGTGAGTTGGAACCTAGAAGAGTCTGCTGAATAATTTGAGTTGATGGACAGTAACATTTTCAACTACATGAACCACAATGAGATCGTTCATGGCTCTGGTGCTTCTTTTGTATAGGGAGCTCGATCGCTCTTTCTTTGCAATGCATGTAGAAATAAAAATTTGGATTTGTATGGCACGAATTAGTGGGAGAAGAAAGGGGTTTTTTGGAAGGGAAGTGATGAGAACACACCAACAGGGGGACTGTAAGACGATTCACTTTGATCTAATTTGCTTTCTACGCTAGCTGGAGTGTTTTCAAAGCTTTGTGAATGCTGAAAGAGAGAAGAAGAGGGGTCTGTCAGGCTTTTCTTTTGATGGGTCCAGAACCTCTAGGTTAAGTTTAACAGTATATTTGCTTTGTACCGTTAGTTTTTAGGGCTGGGACTAAAACCATACACCTTTTGTATACATTAAGGACTATTACTATCACTTGATATATAATAAGGACCAAAATAATCCAACCCCTATACATTAAGGACCATTTTGATCATTTCCTCTCTGATAGAAGTGCTTCGATGTCAAGGCAACGGGTTAAAGATAGAATGCTGCGAGAAATTCTACGTAAAGAGAACAATGATTAAATATTAGATTTAATACATACGTGTATAAGCAATCTACATCTTTCCCTTCAAGTTCTTCCCCCGGTGTGAAGGCGTCTTTCAAAGTGCACAGTCGCTCCTCAGGATCCTCAATTGTGAGTAGATATTTCAGAATTCTGATTTCTTTTGGCATAAGCCTCTNCTACAGATTGAAACATGAAGTCATGTAGTAACTTAGATAAGAACAGAACAGCCAAATGAATATTATCTTTTACCCCTACAGCTAGGTCTATCTGTCCTGAAATCCTAAGGCATAAAACTACCACATCTAAGTTGCAGACCCTGCTATACTACCTGTAAAATTCCAATAGTAACTTCAACATAAAGGCATTCCAACAATAAGTTCTCTTCAAATGCAAGATCAAATAAGCTACGTCACAAGAGTAACGCAGTTTGGTGCATGAGCTCACAGAAGCTACTAACTATGCACTATCTTAAGAGTTTAAAATGGACATAAGCATTTTAGTCAACTTGGAGAATAACAATCACTATTCCACTATACCGACATTTGCTAAACATCATCAGTAGCACTATTGTATAAAATAATGAGAGAAATTCCCATCATTCATATCAATTAGTCATAAATATTCTGTCCCCTTTGCCTCAAACTTCTTTGTTTCTATAGTCTCACAAGTGGAGAACCAAAGAAACTTCAGAGCTGAGAGGAAAAATTTCCAACAAAATCTCAAATAGCTCCAAAAAAAAAAAATTGTTTGGATATCACTAAAAATTGTGTCATTTCGAATACCATCACTTCGGTAAGCATCCCTCTTCTTAATTAAGTTAATGCTAAGACAAAGAAAAATTGCTGCAATAAGTGAGATGCGGATGTGTGTCTGAAGAAAAGAATGATCTTGCCTCATCTTTTGTCATGTCCGACTCCTTGGCTGCTGACCATGCTTTTGTAATCATGAGCACCAATGCTGAATCAAGTTGATTTTTCTGGGCCAGATCATCTATTTTCTTGCAAGCCGCATCCACTGACGGAGAATTTATTATATCTTGGAATTTCAACTCTGCGGCATTTAACGCTTCTATACTTTCAGTTGCCGTATCATAAGCTTGCACAGCTGCCAAACACGTATTCCCTAGTTTTGCCACAGCTAATTATTAAGAAAAAGGAAGATCTTGTCAGTGAAACCTATCAAATGCAGATAAATTATTATGAAAATCAAGGAAGTGATGTTTATTGAACTCGTGGATTTTAATTTCTAAATTTACAGTAAGAGAAACTTCATACTCCCAAAGTCAAAGGTTCTACAAAGCTTCTTCTATCTCATTGTATATTATATTGTAGCATTTGTTTACCAAAGCAAAAAAGATTTTTTTAGTTGATATTATATTCACTTCTTTCGGTTGGAACTTTGGGGTAATTTCACATGTGGCAAGGTTGTGGGGAAGAGTAAACGAGTTGATATATGGGAAGCAACATTTCTAGAATGTATATATTGCAAAAGAGTGTCTTAATGCAAAAACTAAACTGAAAGTAGTCAGCAGTACGATCGCAAAAATTATAGGAAACAGAAGAACCACATTATTTATTTTCCAGGCAGAAGGTACCATTCTGTTCCGCTACATCATCATAATAGGATTCTGCTACGGTGTGAAGATGAGCAAAAAACTCTTTTGTAAAATCTTTACGACGCCTGGCAACAATATCACCAACCTCGGATGGTGACCGCCTGATTACCTCAAGAAGTTCATTATGCCTCTTAACATCATCATCGACCTAGAAAAGAAAGTTACTGGTTGAAGTTCAATAAAAAACATACCAAGCTCAAACAAAATCCAAAAACTGTATCTTAACACGAGAAAAATATTGCAAGAAATCCTCTAATAATCCTTAATCATCCTCAATCCTTTGACCTGTAATATGTAAATTGATCATAGAAGTTCACCTCAGCCCAATGTACTGCAATTAGCAGCAACTAGACAAAAAATAATTGACTAAGTTGAGTATTTATGATTCAACTGAGCCCTTGCTTGGACTTACTTAAAGAGGAACCTCACTAAATACAAAAGAATAAGGTCTGGTCTATCATGGAATTGAAACTATTCCAAGACGAGTTTGGCATAATTGGGTCTCTTTGGAAATTGAAAGCAGTTACTAAATCATGATCTGGCATGTAGAGAATGAAAACTTCATGCTCGCTAAGGAAGCTAGCTACCTCTCTCATCTTTCTTTGAAGCCTGAGTAGCTTGTGCTTCATTCCAGGATCACTCTCACTGTCTGCTCGGTTCTGACACCGGTTATAGAAGTGGGGTCGGATATTGTTCCATTCTTTACTGAATGCTAGTAATCTTCTCCAATCAGTAGGATTGGGCTTGTCAACCAAGAAGACCTCAATTAACTTGTCGCATACTCTGATCATTTTATTCTCATCCAACCCTTCAGAAGAATCTTTCCCGTCTTCTCCATTTTCCATATCAGTTTCTTGACTAGTAACTGAATCAGACAGCTTCACAGAGGGAATTTGCTCGTTAACAGCACCATTTGGTACTGCAGTTGTATCACCCATTACAGCGCCAAGACATGACAGTCGCAACCTCACTCCATTCAGAGATAAGACAGAACCTAAAAGTTTCACAGACATCATTATTATCCAAATGGCTTCACAGAACCAATAAGCAAATTCTACTACTCCTTCTATCCCATTTTATATGAAGTTTGACTACTCACAGCGTTTAAGCTGTTAATCTGACTTATTTATTATATTAGTGATAGTGGAAGGAAATTATTAAGGGCTCGTTAGTTGCAAATAATCTTACATAATTTTGCAAGTTGAAGTGTGTTTCATAAGTTTAGGAAAGAATTTGAACCCAGTGGCTCGAATGTATATTTCAACTCAAATAAAGTTTTCCCAACTTCCATTCACAAATGTGCAACTTTTGCGAACCTCTTTTTTTTTGCAACTATCCGAACACAACTTCAACTTCCGCAAAGTTTTTTCAACTTCAACTCGAATTTTGTCCAAGGGAATACTAATTACAAGTTCAAAAACTTAGTTTGACAGAAATAAATTACATCTAAGCTAAAATTTTAAATAGCTAGATGAATTAGAGTTCTGGAAGTTATATAAATAATATAAAATAACATTCGTAATAGAAATTTTTACGTGCATTTTTGGTACTCCTTTCAATGGAAAGAGTGTCAGGAGTAATTAGCTAACAGAAATCAATTGACAAATTCTCCAAGTTGCAGAAGCACAAAAAAAAAACAGAGATAAAATAAATGGTAACATTTGGCAGAAATAAGTATCGGTGGCTGGAAGAAAGTTTCTTACCTACGGAATTAGCTCCGGCGAGGTGCAGTTGACGATGTCGTTGTCGTTGAATTGGATATTGGATAAGCGAAAGTGGCGGAAGAGGAGAGAAGTTTCTAGAAGTAGAAGTGGACGGCCGTACAGAGAAGGCATAGCAAGGGCTAATACAAGCTGCTAACTCCATTCAACAATACAATCCCCAGTTCCTTTTTCTGTTAGATATTTTAGGGTTTAAAAAATTTAGAGGGAATGCTCAACTTGCGTACAAGGAACAAGTTTTCCTAATAAGAAAGCAGGAGAAAGAACCAGAAAATGACCAAAACTACGGACGCCGTCTGTGGTATGTCATAATTCGTACAAATATATGTTCATGTTCCTATTAATAAGAGCTGCCTCCGGTTAGAAGAAAGCTGCATCCGGTTATTCGGGTCAAAAAGGGTAACTAAGAATAAAATGATTGTATTGGCTGGCAAACGGACTTAGAAGTTGTTTGGCTAAGATTATAAACGGATGAAACTAGCTTATAAGTACTTTTCGACTTATCTATGCATTTGGTAAAGTTAAAAGTGTTTATAAGTCAAGTGATTATAAGCCAGAAATAAATTAAAAGCCATAAACTGATCACCCCCACCTTATGGATTTTTAGTTCATAAGCACTTTAAGTTTGACCAAAATTTTTACTATTTTATCCCTAAAATATTCTTTTTCAAAACAAAACTGCTACATCGATACTCATTGTCTCACGTATTTTTTCAACCTAAATCCCACGTCTCTTCAGGTCTGCAATTCTCATTGGCTATTTGAGGTAAGCAAATTCTCTATTCCTTTGCATATTTGTATCTATGTGATTTTGTGTTAATTTTTGAACTGTATATAATAAACGATGACATATCAAATTTTTGGTGTATTGGTTTCAAAGGGTTGTGGTGATGAAGATAGTGTTTCTCTTCAAATATATTATCCTATTTAGATTTTTTGTTTTTACTGAGAAACTTTTGTAAATTTATTAATTACTATAATTTATGATTATATGCTTATCATAAAATAAATTATATTTATCATAAAAATTATCTTATTTAATTACAGTTGCATTTAAAATAAAATAATAAATATAATATTTTGTATTTGAATCGATATGGAATCTAAAATTTTGAAGAGATTACGCCCTTATAAGTGTAAACATTTCTAAGGTTATTCAAGTCATTTTAACAGAAAAGGAGCTTATCAACACTTTTTTATCAAATATTGCAGCAGTTTATTATCAATTTCAGCACTTGTATCCAAACATGTAACTTTTATTTATTAAATATATTTCAGCACTTAAAAATACTTTTCAGAATGTTTATCAGCTACTTCAAATCAGCTAATCCAAATGGGCTCTTACTGTAGCCACTAGTTAAAAATTAATGGGAAAAGGGCCAAATATAACCCTTTACTTTCATATATTGTTTACATTTAACCTCTGTTATACTGTCGGACCAAATTTACCCCTGTCGTTATACTATCTTTCCAAATTTACCCCTACAATCAGCAAACTTTTAAAAATACTCCTTGATCTGTTAAGTAATCCAAAATCTTCCAAATTTCTTTTATTTAAATCATTTGTTATTCTTCTTGGTCCACTATTTTTAAAAATTACTATTGATGTGAATGCTAAAGTTACTAGACTAAACAAATTATTCATAATTTTTGTTAATTATCAATGCACCCATTTCTCTTTTTGTAATAAATAAAATTGGTTTAAAATTTAATTTATTTTTCAATCATGTACACACTATAGAATTTAGTGGGTCTATTTATTGTGTATTATATGCAGCTGATCATCATATATGTACATGTATATTCAAATATATTTTGTCATTGCATGGTTAGTATAGAGTTCGAACGACTAACTTAAGAGTGCACAATGTGTAGGCATTTAATTAAAGTAAAGTTGAATTAGACAATGTAAAGTCTTTGAGGAACTTCAACTTCAATCACTAATACTTGCAAAGTTTTCATACATTTGATGCAACGAATTCATTAAAATTAGGATGTTGTAAATACTTTTAGAACTTAGAAAAGCTACCTAATTTAGATTTTTCAATTTATTATATTCTGTTTATTCGATTGTATTATTTAATATTTTTTTCTTTTATTTTTTTCTCTAATTCGGAAAGTAGGTAAATGCCAATTATTTCAAAAATAGTGGACCAAGAAGAACAATAAGTAATTTAAATAAAGTAAATTTGGGAGATTTTGGATTACTTAACAGATCAATGAGTATTTTTTAAAGTTCTGTGATTGTAAGGGTAAATTTGACCCTATAATATAATGATAGAGATAAATTTTGTCCGAAAATATAACGAAGGTTAAATGTAGATAATATATGAAAGTAAAAAAATATATTTGACCATTTTCCCAAAATTAATTTGGGTGTGCTGACCAATGAGCCTTGCATTAACTTTTTGCGGGTAACGTGAGTGTGATATGATCTTTTTTGTGAGTCCATTATTGTCCTTATCTTATTTATTAATTAAGTTGGTCCATGCAATATGGTAAATACAATGAACTTTATGGTCTTATGATATAATGCACTAGCTCTTTTGTAACATGGACCATGTTTGCCTCATTTATTTGGATGAATCCTAATTATTCAGATCTCATACATCAATTACTTTATTTTTAAAATCTGAATCGTAATTATTCGGATTTTAATCATTAAGTATATTTATTTATTTTTACTTCACAACCACTTAATGAGTCCGAATATGTCTGTATGATTAAGATCTATAATAAAGATTTAATTTCATTAAGATGTTATCATCCACATTTATTATTAATTGTTGTCATTACCTACCATTATCAACTACCATCACAACTATCCTTTACCATAGCCGCCACCACTACCACCACCCATCACCCTTACCACCATCATCCTCAACCATAATNTTAAAAAACAAACAGTCTTAATTATTTAATATTCAAATCTTAAAATATATTTTAATATTTAGATGTGTATTCAGATATATTAATCTTAAAACATATTTTGATATTCAAATGTATATTCACATTCATACGTCTTAATTATAAAAAAAAAAAATGAGACCTAACTCTTCATTTGAGATATTGCTATCAATTTGCTCGGTTTGATAGACACGTTTCCTAATAAATATGGGTAACAGCAAAAGTTGAAGTATTTATTTTCTTGCTTCTTTTTATTGGGTTTCACTTGTTCTTATATTTGTAAGAGTATGAAAATATTTGCATTTCCAACTTAATAAAATAAAAATAAATGTAAATAATTTCAACGGAATATACTATTGCAAGAGCTTTTATGAAAATTTTCATAAAGTGAAGAAAAAGAAATAGTAAGGATTTTGAAAATTTTTACATAGTGAATTAAAGAAAAAAAGCTAGCAGATGCTTTACTTCATTCAGTTTTCAAAGAAAATGAATCATAAATAAAAAGAAGAGGAAAAAAAAAAACGTAATTTGAGTAATTAAACTGACAGAAAATAAATTCAAATCACAATATATACATGAAGTTTTTTCCCAAGTTGTCAACCAATGCTTTGTTGTTGTGAAGAATTATTTGGAATTATTTTTAACGTAGCCGAACTAATTGTCTACATATAGAACTTAGTCTCATATTACTATTTCAAAAACTATATAGATTAGTTATAAGAAAAAGAAAAGTAATTGAAGCCTTTAGTTTCTTTGAAAATATCTTGTAGATATAAGCAACCTTTTTGGTTAAGAAATTGTTATATCATTTTTTGAGATTACTTATACACAAACTTTTACCATGGTTGAAATGAATAAAAAATATTCCATTCATAAAATTGTTAAAATGAGATCAGGAATCAATTTGGAAAAGGGAGATTATCATAAAATAGTATCGCAGAAGACTATTCCTCTTTTTTAACGTATTCACTAAAATTGAAAGGGGTTAGAGTATTACGGTTTCAATTTTTAATGTAATTTTATCTTTATTATTTTTTGTTGAGTTAGTAATTAATAAAGGTCATTATTATTAATATTATTTATCCGTAAAACGTTACAGTTGAATTTATATGTGGTTTTAGATAAGTGAATTAATTTGATCCTGAAATAAATAAATAATTGAAGAGTTACGCAATACTTAGCCTTAAGATATAGACGAAACAACAGAAGCAACAATTCCAGGAATAAGGTTTCCGGGCACAACAACAGAAGAATCGAGAAATCAGAAGATAAAATTGGATTGAGCTTTGTATAAAATATAGTATAAGTTTGCCGAAAAATTCCCCTCTTACAATGACAACTAAGCTCACTATTTATAGCTATGAAGAAAGTCTTAGGCTCGTGCCCTTCTTTAATGTCAATTATGAGGGACATTTATGAAGATGTAACCGTGAACATAAATGTCAAATTCCTTGTAACGGATAACTGCTCTTAATGCTATGAATATTCTCTGTTGAATGCTACCGGGAGAAGAGCATTTATTACATCTTTATGAGCATTATTCTTCCTAGTGACAAACGAAACAATTGTCTTCAGTCTTCAGTTATCTCTCTGTCTTGGGCTTCATGTATCCTTTCTCGGACGGCCACGTGTCATAACATATTTTACCCAATACAAATAGTCCATCTGCTTTCCGGTGACAAAACTTTGTGCTAGCGGGAAGTTGGTAGAAACACTTTTTGGTGGGAATTACTATAATTTCATCTGAAGGCTTCTGACAGTTGATTAGACGCATATCTCTCCGCATTTAATGCCCCGAACACGTGTCTTCCCATACATTTTTTGCCGATTATCGAGGTAATTCTGTCCATGAATTTAGCCGCTAAAACTTTTACTTATATGTATCAACTTTCACCCTTATATTTCATAATTGTTCGAACTCTCTTCATCTAACTTGCATATTGTTTCTTCGTCTTTTTTCTAATTCTCTTCAAAAAAAAACCCTTCTTTCCTACAATGGCTTCTTCTTCGAAATGTACCGGTTCCTCAAAAAACAAAAACAAAGCCGAGGAGTTTGCTCCTCCAACAGTGGGCTCCATCATCCCTAGAAGTCTTATTACCACAGAAGACTTCGAAGAGAAATTCCCTAATGCTAATTCTCGTACATGGGCCGTTAGCAGGTATCCTTCTTCTATATGTCCTTCGAGCATTCCTGCTGTGAAGGAAGACTGTCGCTGTCATGACTTAGAAATTATCGCATTTTATCTATCGGAGTGAGTCACCCTTCCCAATGAGGGTTTTACATATGTTTACACGTATCCCTTTACTTTGGGTATATTTTTTTTTAGCGGAGAGCTTGACTCCATGATTGCGGATTTTTGCCTCCGTTACTAGATGTGCTTGGCACAAGTAAGTCCTTCTGTGTGGAGGACGGTTGCTTGCCTTCGACGTTTGTTCCAGGAAACTGGAGAGGAATTATCCTTAGCTCACATG